ATTTTGAAGAAAAAAGTCCAATCCGTAACCCACCAGCAACCGCCCACACATCCGCGAACCCTATCCGTAGAAACCACAAACCGCATTACGGGCGGTTACGAGTTGTCTTTTCCCTAAATCGCATAGATACAGACAGGTCCAAATCAATCCGTAAACCGTCTAAATCCGAACCGCGAACACCCCTACGGTACGCATCTAGTAGTCTAATCCAACAGGGGAAAGTTAATCAAGCTCAGCGATCACTGAGTAAAGTTCGAGCCATTGGATTCAACACTGAAGCCGAACCGAACGATCTCATTTGACTGAACGAGGAGGCCAAAGCTGCCCAACAGGATTCGTACAGGTGGATATTTCGTCAGGGATATCAAGCCCACCTAGTTTTGACGGTGGCGATTGTGTTGTTTCAACAGCTCTCGGGGATCAACTTGATTGCATTCTATGCACCTGTGCTGTTTAGGACCTTCGGCTTGGGTAATGAGTCGGCTTTGCTTGTGTAAGAAATAGATGTATTATTGATTGATTTATTGAATGTTACAATGATTCTTATATATAGAAGAGTAGGTGGTAGTAGGTGGTAGATAGAGTAGGTAAAGTGGAGGTGGTAGTGGTGTAGTGGGTTAGGTTTAGTGGAGTAGGTGAGGTGGTAGTGGTGTAGTGGGTTAGGTTTAGTGGGTGAAGTAGGTGATAGGTTTTAACAGCCCCCCGCAAACTCAAGGGGGATAGGAACTAACCAACTTGAGTTTGGAGAGAGTAACAAAACAAGAAAATACTCTGAAAAATAAAAAAAAAATGGATAGGAGACACTGTATGGTCGTGTCAGACCGTTGTAGAAGACTGTATGGTTATGGCAGATCGATGTAGAAGACAGTTTATGGGGTCATGTCGAACCGTTGTAGCAGACAATGTTGTGACAGTTGTTGTGACAGTTTACAAAGTCTTGCCGACAGTTTACAGAGTCTTGTCGGACCTATGAAGGAACTAACCGGAATCAATGTCGGGACAGTTTACAGAGTCTTGTCGGACCCATGTAGAAACTAACCGGAATCAATGTCAGGACAGTTTACAGAGTCTTGTCGAACCCATGAAGGAGCTAACCGGAATCAATGTCGGGACAGTTTACAGAGTCTTGTCGGACCCATAAACTCTTTCCCGACCTCAACAAGTCAACAAGAGAGATAACTGGTGCGGTGGCCAATGAACCTCAACCAAGCGCCTCTGGTTTTGCTCCGTTGAACTTTCCGATGTGGTCGGTGGAGTAAAAAATGGCGGTGCAAACTGATATTGAGGCCAATCAGTATACTTTGAAGTCATGTGTTGAAACCATGACTGCGGTCACAAACTTGTCACACCGGCTGCAGAGTATGACAAATGAGGTGCAGCAGTTAAACGCCCAACTGGCTCTGCTCCAACGCATGTATAAGGATGCGCGAGCAGAGATAAGTGTGCTAAAGGCGGAAAACAAGGAGCCGAAGCGGAAGGCCACCGTGATGTTCCGATTTGGAGGTCCGCCATATGCTGCAGTGGAGGAGCAGGGGGGAGTGAACGTGCTCGGTGGATTAGGAAGCATGGGGGCAACACCGTCAAGGGCCGCCCAGGACGGAGGCAAGAAGAAAAGACTGGCGGAATAGGCGAAGAAGTGAGGTCGGTTGGTGGCCGGCTGCAGAAAAGAAAACAAAGCTGTTGGTGTTGTGTGGTGGTTTGTTGTTGTTGTTGTTGTTGCTTCTTTTTTTTTGTGTAAAATTGTGATCGGGGTGGATCCCTGAGATGAATAAAATATGGTTTGGTGTGCAAAGCTATATGGTATGAAGGGAATTGAAAAAAGATTAAAAATAATGTGAAAGAAAAATAAAGAAAGAAATAATAAAAATATATTTGAAATCAAAATGAAAGATGGGGGAAATAAGGAAAGAGATTTGGAGAAAATAAATAAAAATAATGGATTTTGAAATCAAACGGAGGAGAGAGAGGGGACAAGCCCATGTGAGGGAAAGATGGGTTTAAAGAAAGTGAGGGAGTGGGTTGATTAAAAAAAAGATTGTGGGTTTGAAAGTGGAAAGATGAGAGAGAGACAATGGTGAAGTACTCAAAAGAGCCTGACAATCCCATCCCACCAAGTCCTGCAAAGCCAGGGGCTCAGATCTCAGAGTCCATTTCAAGAACACAAGAGAGACAGCACATGCCAGCAGGAAGCTGCCTTTGGCGAAGGCTAAGAGGTATTTAGAAGATGTTCTGGCTCACAAGCAGGCCATACCTTTCACGCGTTTTTTTTTTTTTTTTTTTTAGGGGTGTAGGACGAACTGCTCAGGCAAAGAACAGACATTCAAATGGACAAGGACGTTGGCCTATCAAATCTGCTGGATTCATACTCGACTTGCTTAAAAATGCTGAGAGTAATGCCGAGGTGCTGTCCCAGCTGGTGGCATGCATTCTTAATTACTAGTTTTTAACTTGCAAATGTCTTTACTGATTGCATGATTGTTCATTCATTCACCAGGTGAAAGGTTTGGATGTGGATACACTTTACATATCTCACATTCAGGTTAACCAGGCACAGAAGCAGAGACGCCGCACATACCGTGCTCATGGAAGAATAAACCGTATGTTTAATTTCTTTTTTTCAACAGCTCTCGGGGATCAACTTGATTGCATTCTATGCACCTGTGCTGTTTAGGACCTTCGGCTTGGGTAATGAGTCGGCTTTGCTTGGAGCCGTTATACTTGGCGTGGTTAATTGTGGCGCGACGCTTGTTTCAACGGTTTTGGTTGATAGAGTTGGTCGAAGGTTTCTTTGCTTGGAAGGTAGGATCCAAACTTGCATATGCCAGGTCAGTTTTTTTTTTATCTTAAGAATTTTATTTTATTTATTTTCATTTATTTTTGTAATGTCTTTTGTTTTTAGCCTTCATTTGAGATGTACGTTAACTTTTTAATTTTTTGACTTTTTAACTTGGGGCTAAAAAGTCTCGTTTATGGTAAGTTTTTTTAATTTTTTTGACTTTTGTGAGAGAAAAAATAAAATGATTATAATTTGAATGTGATATTTTATCCTATAAGACTAAATTAGCCCGAACGAGCATGCCAAACGAAAATTTTAATAATAGTTGTTGGGTATTGCAAACTTTAAATATTATAAAAAAGATAGGAGCCTAGTTGTAATGTAATTAAAATAAATTGAGAATATGTCAAAAAAATAAAAAAGGTGCAGAAGAGGAGTGTTAAAATAATTACTTTTTTATTTTTATTTTATCATAACAGTTAGGAAACTTAGGTTCTTTGTCAAGCCAGTTTTTGTAAATTGATGTAAACTTAAAAAAACACAGAATATGCAGCGGATTTAAATGATCAGATCATACCTTCTTGATGATAGAACCTTCTTGGATAAATCACATGCTTCCAGGAAACTTCTTGATGAACCAACCCAGCAGTGGAGTGATATCACAGATTGAATATCACCCACACAAACCACAGTGTCAAAGACTTGATCGTTGTGTTTTTGGGAGAGTTGGCTCTGATACCAATGTAAACTTAAAAAAACACAGAATATGCAGCGGATTAAAATGATCAGATCATACCTTCTTGATGATAGAACCTTCTTGGATAAATCACGTGCTTCCAGGAAACTTCTTGATGAACCAACCCAGCAGTGGAGTGATATCACAGATTGAATATCACCCACACTAACCACAGTGTCAAAGACTTGATCGTTGTTTCTTGGGAGAGAGTCAGAATATGGGTTGAAACAGACTCAACGTTGTTTTTCTCTTAGATTACCCATAACCATATAACAAATATTTAATATATTATAATATCTATCCATATCAGTTAAGATACAGATAATATCTAATATATATTATATCTATCTATATCAATATGTCAAAAAAATAAAAAAGGTGCAGAAGAGGAGTGTTAAAATAATTACTTTTTTATTTTTATTTTATCATAACAGTTAGGAAACTTTGGTTCTTTGTCAAGCCAGTTTTTGTAAATTGCAATTCAATAAATAAATAGATAAAGAAATTGCAAACCAAAAAAAATTATTGTGTCAAAGTAATTGCAAAGTGCACAATTTTGTCCATAATATTATTTTTGGGTGACTGAGAACTCCAACTAATCTATCATCTCATCCAGTATAATGCCTTACAAATGAATTCTAAATATGTACAATCACCAATAAATTCAGGTCATTTGTGCGCTTGAACGGAGAAAAGAATCATCCAATAATTTTGCAGAACACCTGAACTTCTGAGAAGAAAGTTTTACCGTTCGAGCGGTGAAAGTTGCACTCGAGCAATCTGCCTATATGTTTCGCACCGCCTTTACTCATTCCGCTTAAGCGCTGAAGTGTGTGCTCGAACGGTATTCGCGATCTAGTTTGCAATAAAGTGCGCTAGTTGCTCGTTTTAGAGTTTAAGCCATTTAGATTTTCAAAGAGGAAGAAAAAACAAAGTGTTTTATATTAGAGTGTGCTTTATGCATGTTTCCTTAATGATTCAAGAATTATTAATGGATCCATGAACTTTATATCAACATCATCAAGGGGTTTGTTTGTTTTTTCTTTTATTCATAAAAGAGAGTTATTCTTCAATAAACTCTGGAGAATTTGGGCCTGAAACTTTGGTGAATTCTGGAATGGCTTATTGTCATAGATTCGATATTAGCGTTATGGATTCAACGTTGGGTAAGACAATTCCGAGGTGAAGACAGTTGTGGAAGAGGCATATTAGGATCGGTTCAATTCGGACTTTGATTTACTAGGTAATTGAGAGTATAATTATGTATTTTATTTTTTTTTAATCTTCTTAACAGATTATTTTGTGACTTTGATCCGTGATTTTTTTATCACAATTGTAGGTGCTCCAATTGTATTTTTTTCACGTTAAATCGTTATGTTAATTTGTCTTAATTGTTTAATTGAGATTATTATTTATTATTTTAAATTAAAATATAATTACAAATCAATATCTCGAGAATTTTAGATTATTCAGCGAAACCTTACTATCTTAAGTCACATGACACAAGAATCAACTTGGTATTAAAATCGAAGTGCATGTATAGCTGTCCGTTCTTGGGTTCATTAGTAATAAGAAAGACAATAGTGAGAAATCATACAATGGATTGTGGAGCAGAAGGCCTCCACCGGCTTGTAGAAATCTAGTGTAGATCACATAATCTTTTACTGCCGACTCATCACTTCTATAATACATAGACATTGATCAATTCAAACAACTGCATCTCCATAAAGCTCTACATGGAAAACGGAGCAAGCAACATGTTAACGATAACCAATAGGAGCTGGAGCCTCCCTCAATTCCTTCCCCTGGTAATGAACATCCTGCAAGGCAAGGGCTCCATCATATGCAAAAACGACGTCTAAACAGAAAAGGCAACTTCAAAATAGAAGCATAAAACATGTAAAATATGTATTCTCACAACAACAATCATAGAGTAGCAGCAATTCTCAACACTACACAGTAGACTTGGGTTACTTAAATGTGTGAATCCTAGTATACAAAAATGTAAATTAGTAAAATTTCAAGTTCTCTGTCCTGATCTTCCATCTTGTTACCCAATCTAAAAAATTGTGACAGTAAGACATCATCTCTTGCGATTTCTGAAAATGACAGAAGTAGGTAGAACATTGACACAACAACAATCATAGAGTAGCAGCGATTCTCAACACTACACAGTAGACTTGGGTTACTTAATGCTGTGTTTGGTTGAGGGATTTGAGGAGGGATTTGGAAAGGGAAATGGAAAAGATAGGTGAAATGTGAAAAAAATATACTTACATTTCACATAGTTTCACACACCTTTTCCCTTTCCCTTTCCAAATCCCTCCCCAAATCCCCCAACCAAACACAGCATAAATGTGTGAATCCTAGTATACAAAAATGTAAATTAGTAAAATTTCAAGTTCTCTGTCCTGATCTTCCATCTTGTTACCCAATCTAAAAAATTGTGACAGTAAGACATCATCTCTTGCGATTTCTGAAAATGACAGAAGTAGGTAGAACATTGACAAGCAAGCACACACAGAATTTAGCCTTTTCATCTTTCAACAAAATATATTCTAGTCCTCTACGTCTTTCGTCCTTGCAACCTATTCTATACCCTGCCTTATATGGAGAGAGACTTCATGCATGCACAAGTTATTTCAAAGTATTTCAAGTGCAGACAAAACATGGATTATAATTTATAGTTTCTAACGATATTGTCAATGAAATTATAACACTCATAATAATCCCAACTCGTGAACGGTCCACCTAATCTAAATGCAAAATTACAACTTTAAAGGTTAATCTACATTTAAGCTGAAATACTATCGGGTCTTACACTTGTAGGATATGATGTTACGTCCAACAAAACACGCTATAATTATAAAATTTTATAGTGCTTAAGAGTAATTGAACCAGACTCAACTTGGTTACATGCAAACTAACATTTTGAAAAGTTTAATGCATATTTTAGCTGATCTTTGTTTAGGGCCATTTGTCACGTCCCGCCAACTTACCTAGATAGAATTGCCTACCATGAGGAAATCTCAAGGAAGGGAGGCTAATAGAATATTCTGGAAGCTCCTGGGAGACTTGAGAAAATATGAGCGTTTGGGAGCATAAAGGTCAATGGAAGGATAACTTCCTAACTCATTCCAACACTTGAGAAAACATAGCGAATTCTAAAACATCCTTGAATATTCAAGACACTTAGACTTGTAAATATCTCGTAGAGATATTTCTATAACATTCTAGAATATTCTTGTAGCTTGTAAGCCTCTCCATGTACTTCCTAGTGGCTTCTACAGTGTTCTATGAGAGGCCAAGAGTGCCTATAGATAGGGGAGAAGCTCATTTGCTCCAAACCATCCAAGAATTGTAAAGCTTTCTCATAGTGAATACAAGGCATTCTCTCAAACTCTCTTGTGTTTTTCTTACTTGTCTTTCTTCTAAGTTTGTGAGTTAGGCTGACTTAGCATATCATCAAGTGAGACTTGAGATTGTCTAAGTGCCGCATGGATAGTTTGCAAACAACCAAGGCCGTGACACATTGCTCTAGCACGACATGATAGACCATCCTACGGACTGATATTCTATAAATAACACATGAAGTGATGTTTTCCTTGAGCTAAAATTAGTCTATTGTTCTGTTTGCCAAGGACTATAATGCACTAAATTTGGTGAAACTGAAATTCTATGTATTTCCCCAACTTTGACATGTTGTCATGGACCCATTATTCTCCGTAATAATGACATTGCACTAGTTGATCCCATGCTCACAAAATTAAGGACACAAGAGAATATCGAATATAAAATGACCGAGTCAAAATTATTTTCCACAGCACAAAAACAAGAAAATGATGAAGCCAAGTATTACTTACAGAAGCAAAATGGTTGACATCTCGATGGTGAGCTTCATCAGCACGGATGACAGTTATAACATCTTTCAGTGTTGAATCTTTTGGTAGCCTCCAATAGTCTATGGCGATAGCAGGAGCCGCTACATTTTCAATTTTTCCACTTCCAATATCCTTCAAATACTCTGTATAAGAATGTATAGCCTCTTCCTCCAGATATCCAACAACCCTATGTGCCAGTTTGGGAGAGAGCAGATAAAGCACAAAGAATGCATTGAAAAAGACTCCCTGCACAGTGAGAACCAGTAGTCTCTCGTACCATTTTGGCTTAACAAGCTCCACCATGGTCATTAGGTGCATCCTCTCATTTTCTGCTTCTTCAAGCAATGCTTTAACCCAACCACCAGAATGCTCAAATTTGCGTAGAGACCTTAGGTGTAGTAGCATTCCTCCCACCATACCTGGAACAGCTGCTACAGTTTCCAACATCATTGCACGACAGCCGTACCGTCTCTACAAGCAATTGCATGGATTTGACACATTTGTAATTAATTCAGTAACCAAGAAAACTGGCAGCTAGAATAGTCTATTGAGATGATCCAGAAGAAACATCTTATTACAATTCCCATGAAATGCTAAAAGACCTACATTGACCCAAACGAGGGTAATAATGACTTACAGTCGTGATCAGAGTGGACTGCATACAGTTGTTAAATCATCTATATATATGTCTCACTTCATCACATCAGACAGAAAATCCTAATAATGACACAGAAAAATTCACAATAGCATCGAACATGGCACCCAATGAAATGTTAACACCTCCCATTACATGTTGCCACATTAACTGTCTGGGTGTGTGACTAGGAGGTAAAAACTGGAGTGGTAAATAGCATTTATCATAGAAAAATCCATCCATTAACATGCAGCAATATTCAGACATTGGTAGAAGACATGTTTTCCACATTGTAAAGAAATCCTTCTTATCAAAAAAGAATTGAACATGAGACAAAATGATGTATCCTGGATCCATTTTTGTAATTCATCTCAAAATTATATTTCATGAAGCTTAACAATGCAAATAAGCCAATATATCAGGTATTTGACTGGCTTCATCCCTTATTCTAACCCTGATTATGGTAGCATATGTATGAACTCAAGACAAACTTTAAGCTTTTCCATCCCGAAACGATGTGTCATCATTTGTCAACAAAGAAATCCATTGGCATGAAGAAGGAAAACAAGAAGGAAGATAAACCACCTGGAAAAATATATCCGTTGGAATTCTAAGGATCTTCACAGTCCTGTAAGCAACTTTATCCAGAAACGTTTTTGGAACATGATGCTTGGAGAGATCTATTGTCAAGTCTGATTGGTAAGTCTCCCATGGCTACAAGCAAGAGAGGGAGGGGGGGGGCGAACACCCCTTGAGAACAAAAACAAAAACAAAAAATTAGAACACAAAATTGGAAAATGAAAGATATATATTTAAAGCTTTTTCAAGCTAGAAAAAGAAAATAGGCATAAGTAAAAGAAAAAAGTAAAGATGTTTCCAGGTAAAGATTTTTAAGAAAAGGAGTCCATGCTAAGTATTAAGCCACTTCATCCTTCAAATAATATAATTCTCCACACACTTAAGAGATTGTGAACAACCAAGCAAAAATAAGAATCTCCAAAGTTCTAGCATGACATCCAACCAACAGGCAGTTCAACTTTACAGGCACCTTAGGGCAAATCGAGGCTATTGAAGGTCATTCTTCAAACTTCTGGGTTCTATTAGAAACTCCAATACTGCCAAAAGGGTTCAGACTTGATTTATTAAGTTAAAACCCAGAGCAGCAAAAATGGAGTTCATGATTAATTTAAACTATCACATATAATTAAATATATTGCTTAAATAGTAGGAACAAAATGCATATTGGGCTCATCAACAACAAATAGTGGCAAACTACAGAAGCACATCATTTTTATACGACAGTAGGAATGTAAGATTCTAGTAAACAACTTACCTAACCCTTCAAGCTACGGCAGACCACACACCTTTAAAATAATATAAAATTATGGGAATGAAAATCATCCCAGTATATCAAGATTTCTCTTATCTTCTTAATCTCATGCAAGTATTCTAACTAACATATAATTTATGAAAAAAAAATTACATAACGCTTCAAGACACAAATCTATCATTTAAAATTGGAGCATTTACAAAACCCTTGAAATGTGACCATTAAAATTTTCCTGTCATTGTGATAATGGCTGCCACATTGTAAGAATCTCATCCAAAATATGGACTCTAACATAATATTATGCATATAACATGGTAAGCCACCCCTTTAACATATGTAGGAACGCCATTTTCTTCAAACAAATTTGGTTTGAAAATATGTTACATGGACTTGGATATAAGTATTGGGTGAGGGTGCGTGTCCAAGCATCAAATCTTTCTAAGCCTAAGTTTAAAGAAAATTAGAATACACATCGAAAAGTTAGATACAGATACAGGAACGCTTCTTAAATATTTATTTTTATTTTTCATATTGTATAATATTCTTACATTAAATACTGTTAATTATTTTTAAAATGTATTTTAAATCAACTGAAAGTTAGAATATATATATATATATAGATGAATTTTTACATGTCCATTCGTGAGAAGCTAAAAATGTCTCTTTACTAGCAAATGTGAGCATTTTTTCTTAAAACATCATATAAAACAAGAGGGTCCAACTGTTTAATTAGGTACAATTGTCCAACATATATCTCACATCTTTACCCTCATCATATCCGATAAGCATAGCTACAGTGAGGGAAGTAAAAGAGTCATGTAACACAGGTCCAAAATAAAATGCCACCCCCTGACCCCAACAATGAGTTTCAACAGAGTTTTACACTTTGTATACCACACATACCCACAGGTGTCTAGTTAATTCCAACTATTTTGAAGGAAATTCTCCTATTCCTGTAAACAAGTTTTTTCTCCTTAATTGCCTGCTGATTGCATCTATGGTGCTCATTTTGTGGGCTAGCGACATGATTTTACACACCCAAAAAAAAAAAAATTTACATGGCAATAGGGGAAAATTGTAGAAGACTATTTATACAAATATAAACTCTCGTAATAAATAGTTATTAGTTTTGAACTGTACTATGCACTTAATGTCAAAAAAGTCATTTTAAAAATCAGTCACTTGAAGCAAGAGGGCTTAAGTGTCAGTTTAGATTAGGACTCAAAAAGTTGACATGGGTGAATTGTTAGAATATAAGTGTAGTTCACGTTTCCAATTTGAACTGAATCAGCGATACAGAATATCAAGCCAAAAATACATATGCTATAAAACAAAGACACAACAGCATTACAGGATATCAAGCCAAAGTGTATATGCACACATCTTACAAAACAAAGGCTACAAATGTGTCTTTTTCAACATTAGAACAATTCATTTAATTTTTTTTTTTTTAAGAAAGAAAGAAAAAAGCACGGGTTTGAAGTTTAGATAAACCACTAGCATAAAATATTAGAATTATCCTATCAAAAATTAATTATATATCATGCGGCTAACATGGTAAGAGAAAATTAAGGCATGGGTTGGAAATTTATATAGAAGCACAAAAAATAGGTAGGATTTCATATTCTCCGCACTTCATTTCAGTCAGCTAATTAGAATATAAAAGATAAAATCCAGGGTGCCCAAACAAAACAGAGTAAGCCATAATTTTAGGAAAGCACAAAAAGTGGATTCAGATCAAACTGAGGAGTAAAATTTCAATGCAACTTGCATGATAATAACATAAGGATCAGTATTCATTCTGAGAAGAACCAGTCCAAAATTCTCATTCCTAAATCCTAACCCAATTCACCTGCCAACAAAGTCCAAAGATCCTGGAAAATCAATTATCCAGTGATGCTATATGCAAGCATGTGTATGAATGTAGGTATGCATTTGTAAAAATGTATGGGTCAGAAAATTCTCTAGATCACAAAAAAAAACAGCAAATCGAATTAGTCCTACACAGTAATTCACAAAAAAAGCGACTAAAATTGCAAGGAAAGACCATTAAATTCAAACTCAGAACAACTAAATTTTCAACAACAACAAAGAATCAGATTCATATTACCATGAAACAATTCCAAGGCCACTCGGTCCCATCCTCCCTGGTGATCTTCGGCCTCGAAATGCCCCAATAACTCGCAACCATCACTTCACCGCCCTCCTTCTTCTTCTCCGTCGCCGCCGCCACCGTACTCTCCTTCTCATCCTTCTCCGTCATCGCCGTCGCCTTCTCCGCCGCCGTGCTCATAGCCCTCCGCCACTGTCCCAAACCCCGCGCCCGCCACATCACCACCGCCTCATCAAACGGCCTGACAACCGCCGCCGCCGCGGCCGACGGCGGCGACACATACCGTTTACAGCTTCGGCCGCCGATCAAGCCCCTCAACACAGCCCTCGCCACCAACTGATTCATCTTCAAAATTTCGAGTTTAGTCTTCAGAGTATTTCGAGTTTTCGATTCAAGTTGTACATGTGGATTCCATGAAAGTGGTAATAAAAAAAGGACTTTTGTCTGTGACAGAGAGGAGAAGAGAGAAGGGGGTGAATATGATTGCCTGTATCGCGATCTATTATTTTAATTTACTTCCTAGTGATAATAAAGAGTTGACTATAGGAGTGAAAACGACCTAAAATTATTTAAGTTTGATTTTAAAAAATTTATGACTTTTTAAAATTTATTCAATTTTAATTCATTAAACGTTTAAGCTGATCTCAAATAATTTTTTGTCAAATTAAGTTTGAGTTTAGTATTTTTATATAATTTTAATTTAGTTTGAAAATTTTAATCAGCTCTAAAAATGTGTTTTAAGACTGATTTATTTAATTAATTAATTGAGTTTGATTTTTTTGGTTTGTTTAACATAGGGCCAATTTAAGAATATGGTTAAAAGTTAAATTTTGATTTTTAACCTATTTTAAGTCATATTACTTTTTTTATTTTTATAACATATTTTTTTTTTTTTAAGTTTTAAAAAAAATTAACTTTTAAACAATTTCTCAAAACATCCCATAACGGTTTGGACGGTGGAGATTATGGAGGGTTCTGTGAAGTATGGTGGGGTGGTGAAGTAGGGGAATCAGTTTTTTGGTAATAGAAAATAACTGATTTAACCTTGAATTTTGTGGAGATTTACGTACTTTTGTCCTTTTCTTTTTCTCCAAGCTCACCGGGGAAACACAACACAACACAACACCATATACTATAGTACGCCTTCCGGAATGTGCGGCCATTTAATATTACACGTGGCTTTGCCTGAAAGTCTTTCAAAAATGCTAGAGGTCTCAAAAATTCTATCAAAAGTTTTACTAAATGTCTGACATGGATGTGGATCTCACATCCATGTGAGATATTTAGTAAAATTTTTAAGAGAATATTTGAAATCTTTAACATTACTCAAAGGCTTTTCCTAAAGGCGGCTACAGTGCAGCAGTGGAGCAATTATTTGAGAAAATTTTACTTTATCAATTACGCCCCCAAATTTTGAATAATTTAAATTTTATCTCTAAATTTTTTTAATCGTATTAATTTGTCCTTTATTATCAAATTTAAAAGGGAAAAATTAAAAAAATTATATTTTAACTCCAAATTTCAAAATAAAAATACAAACTCACTCTCTTTCTTCACCTCTTTGACTTCTTCCTTCGACAGCCCTCATTTCCCACGCATTTTCCACTTGGGCCACTCCCTAAATTACCCAAATTCCTCCACCACCTTCCCCCTCCCTCGTTCGCTATTATTTTCCACAAACTTCTTTACAACAATGTGAAACTGGGTTTGGTTTTATCCCTGCATTAACCATCAATTTAAACATATCCAATGGTTCTCAATTATTGTGTCTATAAGAAAAACTAGTAATGATTACATTCCAAAAAAATTTGGCATAAATCCAGACCTTGATTTTATCCCCTACAACAATTCAAGTGATTCAAAATGGCATCCATTAGTCGAAACCACCCCGATAATGGTATTCCACAACACAATGTCTCTTTTATATATTTCATCAAACACCTTCTTTGCATTACTCAAATAACCACAACCACTATAAAATAGCAGAATGGTATCTTCCACAAACAAATCCGAATCAAAACCCAATTTGAACAACAATTTGTGAACCTTCTTACTGTTCTAAACCTCCAAATAGTCCGCACAAACCTTGAGAACAATAAAAAACGTATAGTCATCAGGTTTAACTCTATTTTGAACCATCTTGTTATAAATTTAAAAGCCATCATGAATTCCAGTAATAGAGAAAGCTCGGCTGAGAGTGTTCCACAAGATAGCAGTGAGAGAATACGAGACGGAATGTTGAAATAAAAGGCGTGAAGTTGATGGGTCTCCAAAAGTGACGTAGCAAATAATGAGAAAGGTAGAAAAAGAGACACTGTTGGGAAGTAATCCTTTAAGAAGAGCAATAGCATGGGCTTGTTTGGTTTGTTGGAGAAATTATGTGGAGGAGCAGAGTGGGTTTGGGTAGTGAATAAAGGGTTGGTCCATTGTATAGTGGTGGCGGTAGTGGTGAGTGTTAGGAATTAACCCTTCCTAACTAAAATCGGTGAGACACAAAATAACAAACAAGAAAGAAATTAACAAATCAAACAAATTACACACACAAGAGCACAAGGATTTACGTGGTTCACCCCAAAATAGGGCTACGTCCACGACTGTTGCGGTTTTTACTATGATTAGAAAAATACAACTCTCTCTTGACCTAAAAGAAGTGCCCCGTCATCTATTTATAATTATAAAATTAAGGTTACACGGAAGCACATGGGATTATGAAAGTACCCATTGGATCTAGTATTTGAGTGAACAATAGGGTTAAGTGAACAGTACTTATCAAGGTCCACTGACCCGACAATCTCCCGCTTGGAACTTGATAACACAAGCTCTCCGTCATCTTTATCACATAGAGGAACACCGCAACACCTCGATCTTTCTTCATCAATTTTGGTGACTGTCTTGGTCAACATATCTGCTGGATTCTTACTGACTTGGATCTTTTCAAGAGACAAGACTTCATCATCTACAAGTGAACGAATGAAATGGTACCGTAGCTGAATGTGTTTCATCCTAGAATGAAAAGCCAGATTCTTTGCAAGATGAATAGCATTTTGACTGTCATTATGCAAAATACTCATCTCTTGCGTCTTACCCAACTCTGCTAGGAAATTCTGTAACCAAGTCATCTCTTTCCCAACTTCAGTAATAGCAATATACTCAGCCTCTGTTGTAAAAAGGACTACAATCTCCTGTAACTGTGAAATCTAACTCACTATTGTACCACCCAATGTGTAAACATAACCAGCAGTACTCTTTATGTTATCCATATCACCAGCCAAGTCTGTATCAACATAACCATGTAACCTGATGCCGGTTTGTCTAAGACAAAGTGCCATATCTGTAGTACCACTCAAATATCTAAGGATCCACTTCACTACCTTCTAATGTTGTTTGCCTGGATTACTCATATACCTACTAACCACTCCCACTACATGTGCAATGTCTGGTCTAGTACAAATTATAACATACATTATGCTATCGATAACTGAAGCATATGAACATGTTCCATATAAGCCTGCTCTTCTTCGGTCTTCGAAGACTACTCTTTGGTAAGTCTGAAGTGGCTAGCCGATGGAGTGCTCACTGATTTTGCACCATCCATGCTAAACCTCTTGAGAAATTTCTTGACGTACTTAGCCTATGACAACTTCAACGTACCATTTGCCTTGTCCTTGTGAATCTTCATACCAAAGATTTTATTTGCAACTCCAAGATCCTTCATCTCAAATTGGTTGGACAAAAGTTTCTTCAATCTTTTTGTCTCTTCAATGCTAGATCCTACGATAAGCATATCATCAATATATAAGAGCAAAATAATATAACTTTTGTCAAACCTCTTGAAATAACAATAATGATCTGCTTGACATCTTGTAAAATCGTTGCTACATATAAACCCATCAAACTTCTTGTACTACTGCCTTGGGGCCTGTTTCAAACCATACAAGCTTTTTCAAAGTTTGCATACAAACTCCTCTTTGTCACATGCCAATAAACCTTATGGTTGCTTCTTGTAAATTTCCTCCTCCAAATCACCATGGAGAAAAGCCATCTTCACATCCATCTGCTCAATATGCAAATCTTCAGTAGCCACAATTCCCAGCACCAATCTGATAGTGGTCAACTTCACAACTGGATGGAAAATTTCAAAGTAGTCAACCCCTTCTTTTTGTTGAAATCCCTTTGTAACCAAGTTGGCCTTGCAGCGTTTATTCTTATCATGTTCCTATTTGACCCTGTAAACCCACTTATTATGCAAAGCATTCTTACCCACTGGTAATTCAGTCAACTCCCATGTCTAGTTTGCCATGAGTGAATCCATTTCATCTTGCATAACTGACTCCCAATTAATTGAATCATCAACCTACAAAGCCTCATCATAACTTTCAGGTTTACCCCCATCATACAACAACAAATAATGTAAAAATAGAGACCAAGGCTGTATAGGTTTAGACTTTCTTTCTGACCCTCTCAACTTAGGAGTAGGAGTATGTGGCCCAGTTTGTTGAATAAGTTTTTCAGGATTATTCTGAATTGTCACGACCCAAACCCGCCCTTATGGGTTTAGCACCGTAATCGGCCAGTAATCTGAGATTATCGAAGGCTTGCTTAATAGTGAAACAGTAATACAGAGTACAGGGGCTGGCGGAAGCCAAAACAGTAATTAAAAGATGTCCAATGAACTGTGACAGTTTGTATGCAAAAAGGCTTTTCATAACATATTCACATTCAGAACAAAAACAGTATATACATACATCATATACAATCATCCAGGTTAGGGATTAAGTCCCTACCATAATAGTACAGTAACAGTCTATACAGTCGATACAAAACATGGACAAAAAGGGAGAATCTAAAACATCCCAAAGCAGCCTTAGCTTGGCAGCACTTGGAACCTCGCAGTGAGGCACGTTGGTTGGCTTGACAAAAAACCCCTAGCTCCGATCCGGTGCTTGGACACCTACATATATATATAAACAGTAAGCTAAAGCCCAGTGAATAACATATGTGTAAAGGGGTTAAGAATGAATGTCCTTTTAGTATTTAAACTAGTCATTTGAACAGTATATCAGTTATTTGATCGTAGCAGTCATAAGTGGTACATCCAATAGCAAACAGGATAGTAGGTCTTAACAGACCGAACAGTCAGTTGATTGCCATCATAACAGTAAACAGTAGTGGTTCCAACACGGGAACTGATAGAGATCTCTGTGACAGTAGCAATACAGTACAGTAACAGTAGATTGCTATGGATGCCACGAATACAGTTCGCAAATAGAACAAGCATTCATTCAGTAAGATATATCATTTCAAAAAGCAGTACAGTTGATCATTCAGAAAATATTCATGATTGAACATATCTTTACAACATTGTTACTCACAGAGCACTGGGCTAAGCAGCTAGAGCGTCCTCAGATGCCAACCCTACACAGTTACAGGACGAACACACACTAAGCTATACAGTTGGGAAAATAATAACTGAATCCCTA